ATGTATGCATTTTATCTACAAGGCAACTACCATAAAAGCTTAAAAAAATAAAAAACAAAAGTAGGAGGAGAAAGAAAAAATAGACAAAAAAAGCAATCATCAAAAGTCACTGGCGTTGGGAACAGAACTGGGGAGAGAGTGGTGGGGAGTCCTCACTTAGGATGAGGAGAGGGCTCCTGAGGTTTAGAGATCAAAGTGTCCAAAGGGCGCCCCTAGGAGAGGGGACCGGAAACAGTAAAGAAGGTGACTCTCGCTTTTGGCCATGTAGACTTTGGTAAAGGTTATGTTTTTCAGATTATACACGTTTATTATTTTGATAATAAAAACTTAAAATTTGTATTTAAAATAAAAAATAAATGTCAACACCTGGGGGAGTAACAGCTAATCAGTCCCTTTTCCCTATCAAATATGGTGCAGTGTTTTGTTTAAGCTAACAATTACTCAATGCTGAAGCGGGTGTGGGCAATGAGCATGATGCACTGTGGAGGAGACTCTGAATGGCAACACGCTTTCCGTTAAGCAATTTGTGAAACAGGGGTTTTAGTTTTGTTCAATACTCTATCCCCAAGACCTAGAACAATGCCTGGCACAGAGTAATCACTCATACATTTACTGAATAATGAAGAAACGTGTGTGAACATTTGGGTATGGAACATACAACAGAAAAAAGTCAGAAGTAAACTTGACCAAAATGGGAACATATTGCTTGAAATTATGGGTGCCCTTTTTCTCCCCTTCTTTTCACTTTTCTACAGATAACATTTGATAAGCAGGGAAAAAAAAGTTCATCAGTCCCCACCAAATGTAAATACAATAATGTGCACCTAACCCAAGCATTTTTTTTAATTTCACTATCTATATTTTTCATTTTCTTTAAGTTATACTTGGTCCTTCTTCAAATATGCATGTATCTACTTCATACTTGTCTTTTATCTTTTAAACAAACCTATTTTATAGTTTCAGAATATTCTATTACCTCTAGTTATTTGGGTCTTGATTTCCCTATTTGTTGTGTATGCTGACTTTCCCTCCCATACCATGGTGTATTATACAATGGTATAAACTCCCTGTAGTTTATATCATTTTATTGTGAGCTCATCCATTTTAGGGATTACTGATTTATTTCTTAACATGAGAGTCTTCCATGTCCTGAACTGTGATAGGGTCCCTCAGGGTGGTTTTGCATTTACTTTGGCAATACCTCGTGGGGTTTCACCAGTCCAACACCAGTCCTGTGTCAGTTTCTAGATACCACGTGAAGATACATATGGACCTCTATTCGTCTGTGCTGCAGGCTTGGGCTTCAATTCCACATGAGTGACTCTCCCCACTCTCAGCGCTCTGGAAAACCAGTGTGTCAATCTCCACTCCCCCCCCACCTCCTCCCTGGTCTCCACCTGATTCTAAAGCATCTGAACATGTGCCCTTGGGAAAGTTCTTTAATATCTCTGAAGCTCATTTCTTCACCAACATATCTTTAAAAGTTTATAAATCAATAGAGAATATAGGAGTGAGATTTTGTAAACCTCCAAGAGTTAACATAAGAAGTTGATTCCCCTTCTCATAGCATGTCATAGGCCCTTTCACTTCCATAAGTCACTTGTCCTCCAGATAAGTTGAGGAACAGAGTCTTACTCTTCATCAAAGACTTTCTCAAGCATTTCTTCCTTCTGAATTTTGACCAAAAGAGAGAGACTGACGGACCTTGGCCATCTGAAACTGCTTTAGGAACACTTCAAAGATGCACTTTCCAAAAATGAAGCCACCTCCTGTTAAAGGTACTTTATCTGACAAGTTTAGAAAAGCCATGCTGGTCACCTAAGTGCAGCAACCTAGAGAGGAAAGACGTGGTGAGTGGGAAGTCTGGGAGGCACTGTCCCCCAACCCACTGAGTACAGGCCTTCTGTCTAGCCCCAGGTGAGGCTCCTATGGTACCTCTTGGTTATCTCTTTGAAGTTCAATGCAGCTCCACAAATATTCCAACAGCTGATTGAAATAGAAGAGGGGAACCTGCCTCTGGTGATTCACTGCCTCCTCATGAAGTCACAGCACAAGTGATGTCACACATAGCTCAGAGCTTCTCAACAATTACCAACTACAGCTCTAGCCCTTGAAAAGCTCCTGAAAGCTCTGACAGCTCCCAGAAAGCAGCAGGGAACAGAGAAACCAGAGAAGCATGGTCACCTCTTTCCTTTCACCATAGAGATGAAAAGATAATGAGAATCCAGATCTTAATTCACAGCCAAGGGATTCTTCCCACCGTTCACATGTTCTCCCATACCCCATCCAACCCCCTAGGCTCTTGTCACTGATTCAAAATCCCTGCAATAAGCAACAGCTTACAAATAATCTCGAATTGTCTTCTCTAGAACCTCCCACCTGCAACCCAAGGTAAGTCTCCACTCAGTGGCAAAGTCTAAGTCTTCTCTCCCCATAGCAGCCACACTTCCCTTGGGCCTAACTGAGGATCATGAACCAACCGACCTCACCTGATCTGGCTGGATCATTACTAGGCTAGTATACCTCAGGTGATGCCGCCTGAGTACTACTGGGGATGCATTCAAAAGTCACTGTTAGCATTTCCATTTCTCCAGCAGGCTGTTTCCGGAGCACTTAGACAGTTTAAGTCACTTATTTAATCCAATTTTCAAAAAAAAAACCTATGTGGGAAGAGGCACGTCTGTTGATCAAATTCGAACAGAAACACTGCCCTATTCTACTATCTTTCCCTGTGGTTCTGAGTTCAGGCAGTGTTTTGATGACAGATGAATGATCTATATAAGAAACTTCAAGAGCATTATTGAAATGATAAAAATGTGCCATCATTTCTTTGTGAAGATACAGAAACTTTCCAAAAGTCAATTTAAACTTGCATCTTACAATCCTCTTACAGTACGTAATAGCTTCTGCTGCCCTGTTCCAATTTCCAGATCAATCTGTCTTGATTTATCTAAAACAGTACTTGTCAATTCCTTTCTGCTGAGTACCTGGATAAAATGCAAACTCTTTACACTGCCTTAGAAGGCCTTACATGATTTTGCCCCTTTCTAAATGGTTATCTTTCTAAACTTATCTCTCACCAGTATGCTTTTGCAAACCAACCAGGCTAGTCTCCTCCCTGTTCCTCAAACAATTTATCTTTTCTGCTACCACACCCTTCTCATACCATTCCCTCAATCTAAAATGCCCTCCCCCAAACTCTGTTAATCAGAATACTAGTCATTCTTTAAGACTAAGTTCAACTTCCACCTCCTCCATGAAATCATCCCCAGCTCAGCTGAAAGCACTCATTCCCTCCCCACAGTCACTCAGAGACATGCTCCTCACTGACCAAAGAATAAGCTCCTGAAGGGACAGAACCATGTCCTCTCCTCCTCTGCACCCTCACAGTGCCCAGCACAGGGGACTAGCACACTGTAAGTGCTCACTGAGTGTATCTGTTCAATAAATGCATGTACACTTTGACAACTGCAGAATAACATCATACTAGAAACAGCACCAACCATTTTTACCAAGGCAAATAAGGAACCGAAGGCTTCAAATGTTTTTGATTTACCTCAGGTACACAAAAAAAACTACTCAAAACTTATGAGTAAGGAAGACCCAAACTCACACACCAATAAGTCAGAGGACTAGGCAGACATCTGATATTGTCGCTACATTGTGAAGTAAAAATGATGATTCATCAAAGTCAAAAAAAAGCTTAATCAGCACAAAACCACAATGCGGCATTCAAAGGTAAGGGTATGCTAAGAGGGAGTTTTAAACAGTCTTGGGGTGACTACAATCAGTATTCCCCACCTGAGAAATAGTGGATAGATTAAGTACCCCAAACCTCAAGTCCAGAATAGTTAGGTATTTATGCTACATGAAAAATAGCAAATTGGGACACTGTGATAAAAGCAGAATGATTTTTTTAAAAATAATTTAGCTGTTTTATACTTCATTAAGAGTCCCCAACTATTGAAATATCTAATAAATATTCATTAAGGTAAAAGGAATTATTAAATGGCTGCATATGCATTGCATTCTTACTATTCTCATATATTACAAGATCCATTATATAATCCCATCTAACATATAACTCAAAAATGTATAGTTATGGGGCCGGCCCGGTGGCATAGTGGTTAAATTCACGTGCTCTGCTTCGGTGGCCCGGCGTTCAGGGGTTCAGATCCCAGGTGCACACCTACACACCACTCATCAACCCATGCTGTGGCAGTGTCCCACATACAAAGAAATAGAGGAAGACTGGCACAGATGTTAACTCAGGGACAATCTTCCCAACCAAAAAAAAAATGTATAGTTATTATTTGACCTTTTCAACTGAATAAACACTAAATTAGATCAGATTTCTTGTCTACCCAAAACAGAGATCAGTGTCAGACAGTGACAGAGTTGAGGAGAGTCAGGACTGCACTTCTACATGTCAACTTCAAAGGTCAGGAATATGATGATGATGCTTACGATAAATAATAAGAGCAGCAAACACTTTTATAGCACTTATTACTTGCCAAGTGTGGTTCTGAGATCTCTGCATATGTCAATTAACCTAATCTTCAAAAGAATTCTGAGGTATGTATCACTATAATCCTATTTTACAGATGAGAAAACTGAGGCACAAAGAGATGAGATAGTTACTAGAGGTCACACATCTCATAAGTTACAAGGCCAGAATCCAAACTCAGCAAGTCTAGCTCCAGGGCCCAGGCTCTTCACCACATGCAACAGCCCCTCCAGTCTAACTCCCCAGACAAGGCTGAGTACGTTTTCTCCACCTGCATCGCTGCCTTCCTACCCCCGTAAAACCTGTTCACTTTATTCATCAAAACAATCTTCCTAAGATGGAGAATTCAGCAATAAAGGACGTGATTCTTCTAGCCTGTTCTAGGTAATTTCATGTCGGTTCTTGGTTTGAAGAATTCCCAGCTTCTGAGATTTGAAATTTCAGTAGCGCTTCCTATCTGTTACCTGAAGGAGGAGGGTAGGGAAACACTTACTAGTATCTGGAGTTTTCTCTTCAGATCTGCCAAATAAAAATTCATATTTGGCCTTGGCAACACTCTGGGAATGTGCTGATGCACTGTTAACCCAAAGAAATGTCTCTGCCTGCAAAATTAGAACAAAACAAAGACATCATTAAAAATACAACATAAAGCAAACCAACCAACAAGAGAATGGTTAAGCAATTATGACATATCTACTTGAAAGAATGCTATACAGCCATTAAAAATGAAACATGATAAAGATAACATGACAAAAATCAGAATACAAGGTGATTGCTGCAAGATTACAATTATATAAAAAAGATAAAGATATGAACATCTATAGGGGTACAGGAAAAATACGAAAAGTTTGGCTTGACTGGGGGCAGAATTATGGTGGAATTTTTTTAAATTGTTTGTTACTTTTCTGCAACTAGAAAGCTGTATTTTATTTTTAGATGGATCATTTTCCAAATGATTATCATTACCCACAGCCCATAGCAGGAATACTTTTGTGTGTGGGTTCTGCTAAAGTATGCCAACAAAAAGTGGTCTTCACCCAAAAGAGACCACATTTCTATATAATCAGGAACACCATTCAACCAAACAGGGCATAGAAGAGAAGTGTCAGACATCCCATTTATACTAATTGTCCTAAATTTGAGCATCTGCCCCAATGTCCTTTGGAATTCCTAAAAGTCCGTTATTTGAGAGAAAAACCACAAAGGTGACTGTGAAAGTGGTTCACATCATGAGTCTGAATTCTATGACCTTCTTCCTGGGTGCTTTAGGCAATTCTCTGGCCTGGGATTAATTAAAAATAAGTAACAAGGTAGAAATTTCAAAACACAAAGAAATTTGACCTAGTCCAATCAGGAAGTCATTCTTCTGCCTCTTTACTCTGAACTCCAATATTAACCAGGATCCAGACATTACCCACACTAGTTTTCACCTTCTAATTATGAAACATCTTTTCTCATGTCTGAGCAGCAACTAACCATTCATCTTAGGAGAGAGGAACATGAGGGTTTTATCAGCAACCTGGCAACTACTTCAAAGAGGGAAATTTTATGACTTCTATTATGTCCTTTGGAGCAGAAATGATTGACAGTAGTGAAAGGCCCATGACTGGGTTATGGGTAACTCCATCACCCCCCTGCAGATAGGTTCAGTGGGCAGGCCTCTCTTTGTTTTCTAATACCAATATCAAAAGAGCTAGCTTGCACAATTTTGAGATAGCAATTTCTTAAAATAGCATTACAATCATTTAATGTTCATAATGTATAAAATTTATCTTTTTGGAAAAGGTGCACACTTATCTTGGAGTTATGTGCTTGATAATCACAGGTTGTTAATTATCCTTTTCCCCAGTAGAAGGAAATATTAATTTTTTGATGTGTTTAGGGAGCTTCACACTGGTAAAAGAGGAACTTGGTGCCCTAATTTAGGTAGAGTGGTTAGGGAAGGCTTTCTGAGGCACTAATACCTGCAGTGACAAGAAGAATGAGAAGCTGGGGAAGGACAGAAACCTCCATCTAAGCAGAGGGAGGGTCATATTTTCACGGCATTAAAATATGAAAGGGCTAGGCTATTCAATAACAGAGAGAAGGCCAATGTGACCACAGGATAGTGAGTAAAGGGGCAAGTTTAGACACTGAGCGGGAGAACAGCCCAGGCAGGAAGTAACGTTGACGAGGAGGTGGCGGCCAAAAACACAGGGTGTGTAGGTCAAGGAAAACTTTGATGGAAAGCCAGTGAAGAATTTTATTTTATTTATTTATTTTTTTTGTGAGGAAGATCAGCCCTGAGCTAACATCCACGCCAATCCTCCTCTTTTTGCTGAGGAAGACCGGCTCTGAGCTAACATCTATTGCCAATCCTCCTCCTTTTTTTTCTCCCCAAAGCCCCAGCAGATAGTTGTATGTCATAGCTGCACATCCTTCTAGTTGCTGTATGTGGGACACGGCCTCAGCATGGCCGGACAAGTGGTGCGTCGGTGCGCGCCCGGGATCCGAACCCGGGCCGCCAGTAGCGGAGCGCGCACACTTAACCGCTAAGCCACGGGGCTGGCCCAAGAATTTTAAACATACAGTGATTCATTAACATTTCAAAAAGATCATTCATTTACACTTTCAAGCAATCATATGGGTGTTACAGGGACAATGGACTAGAGTGCGTCAAGAGGAAGCAGACCTATGTCGAAGAGCGTACTGCCTATGTTTTCTTCTAGAAGTTTCATAGTTTCAGGTCTTACATTCAATAAGTCAGAGGGAGAAGGTCAAATACCGTATGATTGCCTTCATTAAGTAGTAGATAATAACAACAATAAACAAACACATAGGGACAGAGATTGGATTGGTGGTTACCAGAGGGGAAGGGGGGAGGGAGGAGGGTGAAAGGGATAATTCGGTACATATGTGTGGTGATGGGTTGTAATTAGTATTTTGGTGGTGAACATGAAGTAATCTATGCAGAAATAGAAGTACAATGATGTACACCTGAAATTTTTACAATGTTATAAACCAATGTTACTGCAATAAACAAAAAATTAAAAAAAAAAAAAAAGAGGAAGCAGAGACACCAGTTGGAAGCCCAAGTACAGAGTATGGAAGCTTAGAGAAGGATGATGGCAATGGAAATAGGCAGAAGTAGATCATCTGAAATATATTTCAGAGGGAATATCTATATAAATTTTCTGATAAACTGAATTTAAGGAAGGAGGGAAAAGGAGAAATCAAGAATAATTACAGGAGCTGGCCCAGTGGCATGGGGTTTGCAGGTTCAGATCCCAGGTGCAGACCGCTTGTCAAGCCATGCTGAGGCAGCCTCCCAAATAAAGTAGAGAAAGATGGGCACGGATGTTAGCCCAAGGCCAATCTTCCTCAGCAAAAAGAGGAGGATTGGCATCGGATATTACCTCAAGGCTAATCTTCCTCACCAAAAAAAAAAAAGGGGGGGGAGAATAATTACAATGGAAAACATTTACTAACCACTTAGTCCAGGTCAGTCACTGTTCTAATGCAATACATGGGATACCTCACTTAATGCTCAGAACAATCCTATGAGGCAGGCACTACTATCATCTCAGTCTCATAGGTAGAGAAAAGGAGGCAACGAGCAGGTAAGTAATTTGTCCAAGGTTATACAGCTAGTAAATTGTGGATCCCAGATTCAAATCCTGAACACAGAACCCATGACCCCGAGAATGACTCCCACAAATCTGGCTTGAGGAACTGGATGCATGTACTGAGATGAGGGAGACTACAGAGGGAACATTACCAATAGCTTGGATTTGGGCTTCCAAGTGACCTCCAAGGTCTCAGTAAAACAACAGAAAAGAAAATTCTAAAGAAATCCATTACTATGGTGCTAGAAAATAAGAAAAGTTGCCACCGATGAAGCAGTAGTTTTAAGAAATTTCAGGAAGATAATTTTTTGGCGTACAGTCTCAACTTAAAGCCCGAGAACAACTCTCCAAAGAAAGGTTCCTCTTGAGCAAGGGTTCTGAACCCCAGTTCCCTGGGGCTCTGTCTATAGAATTCTGGAAGTCTGAAGTTAGATGGGGGAAAAAATTACATCTTTATTTTCACTTATCTTAAGCTGAAATTTAGTATTTTTTTCAAATACGAATGTACACTACAAACAACAGTATTATTATCACTAACTCTAACTTTGTCACCAATAGAAATCATAACCATTTTCACATCATATAAGTTACTGCGGACATCATGAAATATTATTTATAGTCATCCCCACTTTGAAATGATAGTAGTTACTAGACCCACCACTAAATCTTATTATGAATAAAGAAATAAAATATATTACCACATTACAAATTTCTTTATTATTTTGGTAACCAATATAATGGGTTACTTTTGCAGCTCCATGTATATTACTGTATGTATTTAAAAAGCATTATTCTGACAAGATATCCAGAGCTTTACCAGACTGTCAAAGGGGCCATGCACAAAAGAAAAGACCCTGCTCAAGAGCATCGTGCCTCAAACTGCTGCTCATGACCCACCAGTGGCTTGTGTAATCAGTTGTGTGGGTCACGACCAGATTTTTATATAAATAAGTTTATACACACATATATATTTAACAGAATAAAAGTGAAAATACCAGAGTAGATAGCACATAGTAAGATAAACATTGTTTCATAAAACTTCTAAGTCTCGTGCGAGCGCGCGAATGTGTGTGTGTGACTGTGTATTGGATCACGATGTAAAAAGTGTTTCTCACAGTGAAACATGATCAAAACTGTTGGAAACACATTGCTCTAGAATGGCTCTCAAACTTTAGCATGAATTAGCATCACCTACAGGGCTCGTTAAAACACATACTGGGGGGTTCACCCAGAGTTTCCGATTCAGTGGGTCTGGAATGTTTGGCCTGATAATTTGCATTTTCTAACAATTTTGCAGGTGATGCTGATGCTGCTGGTCCAGGGACCAAATTTTGTGAACCACAGCTCTAGAACACTGTTTTTCATACTTTACTGTATATATGCATCACCTGGGAATCTTGTTAAAACACAGACTGAGCAGGTCTGGGGTAGGGCCTGAGACTGCATGCCTAAAAAGCTTTGAGGCGATGCTGATGCTGATGCTGATGCTGGTCCATAGAGCACACTTGTGCTAAGGCTTGAAAGTGAAGCAGTGTCCAAACCATATTCAGAATTTCACAGAAGAGAAACATTTTTTAAAGGGAAGCTCTACTCAGAAGTTAAAATACACGAAAGGGCTCCACCTTAATAAAGTATTCCATATTATGACAATTGTGGGGGACCCTAAAACTCAACATTCAGCCCCAAATCTAAGCATTAACATTCCCCTGCCTTGCCTGGTGAAATAAATTCATTCTGCTTACAATAATTATTATTTTTTTGCTGGGAAAGACTTGCCATGAGCTAACATCTGTTACCAATTTTCCTCTCTTTTTTTCTTTTCCTCCCCAAGGCCCCAGTGCATTGTTGTATATTCTAGTTGTAAGTCCTTCTAGTTGTTCTATGTGAGCCACCGCCACAGCATGGCTACTGACAGACGAGTGGTGTGGTTCTGCACCCAGGAACTGAATCTGGGCTGCCAAAGTGGAGCAGGCCAAACTTTAACTGCTAGGCCATCA